AATATGTAACAGTCCTAAACACATCAACTAAAACTTTCGATAAGTCATGAATCGAAGAGGAGAGTTTCTCTATCATCGTCTCTGCATCACCTTCAATAATGGCTTCCCGAAAACCCATATCAACTATAAACTGGACATCATGCACGACTGTCATAGCCCCCATCATGAAAGGAGAGGTAATTCTATATAACAATTTCCGACCAAGATTGCTGTTGGGATTGCGAGAATCGAACATCAAAGTTGGCCTTTACAGCCGGGTGGGGAGGGGGATTCTAGCATACAGTAACCAAACGGTTAGGACCCTGAATGCTAGCATTTATAGAGCTAAAATTCAAACAGTGAGATCAAACAAAAATAACTAAATCATTCACTCGTGTTTGTTTTCCTTCACGGTAAAGTTTATTACGAGCAAACCATAATCTCCAAATTGTGACAAGAATCTCTGCATGCTTTGATGATGGATAATGAGTAAACAACCAACTCAACCAATCTAAAAAATTTGCATCTATTACAGCAGAGGGCCAATGATAATTCATGTTCGACCAAACCAAACGTGCAAGATAGCAATCTCCAATGATATGAATGCTCAACTCAATAGCACCACAACGTGAGCAAAAAGGATTAACTGCAATACGTTTTGTATGTAGATTTTACATAGAAGGGATGTAATTTTGAGTAAATTTTGACACATGTAATTTAATTTTCCATTACAAGCACAAGTCCAAATGTGATTCAACACAGCTTTCACCGATTGAGAAACATCCACCCTCCAAGTAGTAGCTGATAACCACTTCGCACACTATACACGTCTTACTTTTCACCGCCCCATACACGACCATGTTCCTGGTTAAACTGTGAAATTGGAACTTTGAGAATCAAGTTTGCTTCCTCCTCATTAAAAACGTCCCTCACTAATTCATCCTTACAACATATAGCATCAGAATCGATCAAATGAGCAACAAACACTATCGAATCAACCTGAGCATAATCAACACGACGTGGAGGATTTATCGAGAACTAGAAGTCATTCCAGAAGAAAATGGATACACCAGTTCCAACTTTCCATTGTAATCCTTTCTCAGGCAAACTCTTTGCACACCAAACACTACACCAACCATACGACGGGGCAAATCCTAATCGCGAGCTTAAGAAATCACCCAAAAGATAATACTTAGCTCTAAGAAGTCGTCCAACCAAAGATGAAGGATTGGTAATCATAAGCCAACTTGGTTTAGCTAAGAGTGATATGCTAAACTTCGTCATGTCTCAGAATTCAGAACCACTCCTCTTTTAGTTGACATAAAGAGTCTCAAGCACACCAATAGATACCTCTTCGAGACTCGTATTTTACCACCAAAATCGGGCCATAATACCATTCAACTCTAAACACAAACTTTTTGATAACAGAAAACAACTCATAACATACAGAGGAATAGCTTGCAATCCTAATTTGATAAAGACCTCTTTATCCCCCTGAGACAGCACATAGGCACAGCAGTTGTGAACCCGACTACAAAATTTATCCTTAATGTGAGCAAAGGCACCCTTTTCATCTCTATCCACAATTGTCGGGAGCCTCAAATACTTTTTCGGACTTGACTTATTTGTGACATAAGGATACGATAAACATCATTCGTATTATCTTCAATGTCGTTTGAACCGAAGAAACACCTAATTTATCAAAATTTATTGTTTGACGAGAACTATTGCCGTACTTGCAAATTCTTCTTAGTTTTTAAAGTCGTGCTTGTATAAGCTTCTCCAAATATCTTAATTAGCGTACGGAAAAGGTGAATGGTTAAGAAATAATTTTTTCAGATGTTTGATTTACAGAAAAGATCATTATTAGATAAATAATTTATTTTAAAATTATATTTTGATTTGCGGAAAAAAATTGTGACCATGTAATAATCTATCACCAACAGTATTTTTGGTTAAAATGGTAAAAATGCCATTGTTTCTAATTTTTTAGGGAAGAGTCTACAGCGCTTTGTCATGTACTGTAACGTACCACTAAAGTGATTACTTAAATGTACCACAAGCAAATTTGTCTTTATTATATAAATATTAAAAAGTATAAGGATTTATTTTATATTAACCATTAATTAAAATTAAATTTTATTTTTAATAGAATTATAATTTAATTATAATTTTGTATTAAAGGGTAAACTACAAACTTGGTCACTCTTGTTTCATTTTTATAAAAGTATGGTCACTCGATTCAAAAAACTTAATTCGTAGTCACTTTTGTTTCGTTTTAATTAAGATACGGTAACTTTCATTTTGTTTTAATTAAGACGTTGTCACTATGACGTTATCTTCTGTTATTTTGATAATATGACACGTTAGTAAAAGGGTTTAATTTTTATTTGAACACTTAAAGTTTAGATAAATTGCTAATCATGAGTCTTTTTATAAGCCCGAATAATTCCAGGCATGGATCCATCGTATTGATCTAACTGTTCTCGATGGGAACTCGGAATGAACGTGGTCGGCAATGAAGAGCTTGAAAAGACTATTGAATTCTTGAAGCTAGCTCTAATGGAGGTAGTGAATCCATTGTTGATAAATAATTTCCCAGTATTTCTTGGTGTTTATATTAGCTGTTCCTGGCTATGAAATCTGCAGAAAGGTAAACTACAGCCCACAAAAGCTTAATATGGCAATACACAAAAGGAAATAAGTCTGATAAGGTAATTATCGATATTTTAATGTTTAATTATAACTAAATTAATTAATATGATTTAAAATGATCATAGGACGAAAGTTGCCATTTTTTCTCCCTTTTTCTTCCTTTTAATAACGTGTCACATTATCAAAATAATGGAAGTTAACGTTATAGTGACCACATCTTAATTAAAATGAAACGAAAGTGACCACATCTTAATAAAAACGAAACGAAAGTGACTATGAATTAAATCTTTTGAATCGAGTGACCATACGTTTGTAAAAATGAAACAAGAGTGACCAACTCTGTAGTTTATGCTTTAATAAAAAAAATATAATTAAATTATAATTCTATTAAAAATAAAATTTAATTTTAATTAATGGTTAATATAAAATAAATCCTTATACTTTTTAATATTAAACTAATAAAAATAATTTTACTTGTGGTACATTTAGGTATATCGCTTTAGTGGTACGTTGCGGTACACGACAATCACGGTAGACTCTTCCAATTTTTAGATATTGAATAATTCTTATCGGTTTGAACAAAAATACTACTAAAATAATGAATTATTTTCGTATGAATCCTACTTTCCTATTCTCCGTAAACTTCAAGGAAGGATTCAAATATGATAGAAACGTTTCAGTGCCGGAAATGTACCTTCGTTATAGGGAGCTGGGAAGGGCTTAAAAGGGTCAAACATCCAAACAACCGTTCGTTTCTAGCCTTCTTCGCAGGCGGCCAACATGGGAATGTGAGGAAAATACTGTTCAAATATTGGGAGCAAAACACACAATGACATTCGACTATTTCGATACCTCACCAAAACCCTAAACGACACTCAACTAATAAGCCAAAGTAAGTTTTGCCTTTTCCCTAGCGGGTACGAAGTTGCAAGTCCAACAGAGGTTGAATCTATACTTGTCGTTTGTGTTCCGGTGATCCGTGATCGTTTACGTATGGCGATGCATTTTGTGCTCAATCGACCGGCCAAACCATATGGTGATGCATTCAGTATGGCTTGGGAGGCTTAACTGAAGATTCTCAAATTGCATTCTATTTCCTTTTTACTTTTTAAAGGTAATTTTATTCTATTTTCTAAAAGAATTAAATCATATGTTGCAAGATAAACAAATTAAAAATTACTCTCTTAATTTTTTTTTAATTTTCCTTTTCAAGCTCTATTTAATTTTTTTCAAACAAAAAGAAAATCCATTTGAAAGGCGTGCACATCCATTAAAAAGGCTGCTTGCATGGTATAGGAAACTAAAATAGAAGCCTTAATTATATGTTTAGTTAAGTACTTAAATTTTTTAAAAAAAAGTTTAATTATAGTAGTTATGTAAATAATTCACTAAATTTAAAGTAACAAATGATATGCCAAGGAGACATGCAACTGTTGCCCGCGAAAACGTGCATGAATGGCTTGCGCGTCACTCGGTTGATGTTAGTATTAGCTAAAACAACTCTACAGTATGCAAAATAAGAGTATCAATGAAGATAAGTAGACACGCTTATTTTTTGTTGTTATTTTTTATATTATGTATTTGTTTTTTTCTTGAGATTTTTCACTTTTAAATAAAAATATATGTCATTCTGACACGTTTTTATCTGCTCTTGTGTATGTTTTTTCTCTACTCTTGTGGCACGTTCCTTATGTTTTTCGGTAAGTTTTTTGTATACCTCTGTGGTCGTGTTGGTGCTTCCACAAAGATCCTCACGATAATTGTTTTTTAGTTTTGTCGGTGGTCATGTATTGTCAGATCCCCTCCTATGTAAACAAACGTTTGCCGATATAATCAGAAATGTATAGCGAAACAATCTATCAAATTGTTTGGTTCACTCTCCACTCCTTTATCATATCATAAAACATCTCCTTTATCACTGGGTTTTATGAAGATTACTAGATTGCTTTGATGTTTGGAAGGTTTCAGTCTTTCCGTATCTTTGGATTTAATGTTTTTATTTTATGTATGATTTTTTAGTGGCTATATTCTCAAATTTTATCTTTGGATGCGTTATAATATTGATTCCTTCATTTTTATTAATGAAATTCGGTTGTCATTGTTCAAAAAAAAAAGTAGACTTTTCACACGAAAATTTATTGTCTAATCGTCTTGGAATAAATATGATTAGTCAACTAATGTCATTAAAGACAAATGCCAACCAATTTCAAGTTCAACCATTGAGTGCCGCATGAAAGTTGTAGCTTGAATAAACAAAAAAGTAAATACGAGTCATTGCAGATGAGATTGAAACAGAAGCATCCCCAAGCAGAGACTAAAAAAAACAAAGTATACCAAAACGGAGGAAGAAGGGGCAGAATGTGTTGGAATCTCTCAAACTGTTTACCCCGTTTTAGATACAGGAAGGTATCGTGAACCCGTGGCAAACAAAAGCAAGCACAATATAACCAATAATCAGGAGGAGGATTATGAGAGCAACCCTGCAATATGCCCAGCAAGTCAGTAAGTGATCAATTCACCTATCCTACCATCACTGCAATTTCAAGGAACAAATTTACACAGAAAGCTACCTCTTTTATTGGAAAATCATGCAATTCTTTAGTAACTTTAACTTCCAAACTCAATCTAGTCAATGTAAACATACAAAATATGTGGTTAAAGTTCAGAAATCATACGTAAACCGGACATTTCTCCACCACACTGTGTTCTTATAACGGCGAGATTGCTTTCTGAAGCGAAAGGTATTTCCTTGCATACTAGCAGTTTTGTCAACCAGCAATTCTAGGCGATCACCTCTCTCTAAAACTTTGTCAACGTTCTCTGTCATAACGTTTCACACCTATTAGAGCACAAAAGAAAACATAAGGCTATGGCCATAATTGCAGTTATCGTAGGGCTTCCCATAAATTAACATGTCAAATGATTGGAGTTTGGAAACACAGATCAAAATAGAAATTTTATTTTCATGCGACGCAAAGAGAAATCTAGTTTCAAGCATTTAGAACCGACCTGATTCATTTCACCTCTTATGCGATTTATCCTATCAGCATTAGGATCATTGGAGATATTCCATTTGCTGGCTCAAAACACTTGAGAATTCATCGTTCATGGCATAGGGAAGGGCTGAAAGTACCGCTCGGCCGTATGTCCTGACAAATCTCTGGTCCATGTCTTCAAGAAATGTAAAAGGAATTCCCCCTGCAAAAAAGTACAATAAACACATTCACCGTCACCAAAGAAAATATTCATCAGCAGCAACATTGGACAAAAAGGGTTCTTAACAAATAAGAAATCACAAAGTAATTGCTAACCAGAAGGATATTCTAACAATTAACTCTCGATTTGATTCGTGAAAAATCAAAAGAATGTCGAGCTAAAATTGAAATATTCCTTCAAAACCCGAAGATGAGTGTTATTTTTTTCAAAACATAACATCTATCGCTACCGTTGCCGAAATGATATGATCACCACCGGAAAGAATTTTTTTTTACCATTTCCCCATTCTAGAATTGAAATTTCACACTTGAACTTTTAATCAATCGCCGAATCATATCTTATTTTTCCTTTAATTTTGAACAAATCGAAAATGGTTGGCAACCGAAATTGAAACGTAGCCATTTAATCAATTATAGTTCAGTTTTAAGAGGAAAAATAAAAGAAAAGATGATGGACTTACTTCCGGCACTTTCGTCTGCCATGCAAAGAACAGTGAGTCCATTGACGTGGAAGATGTATCGATCTTGCGAATACGAAACGTTAATGTCGTTGTCTCCCGTCGTTTTGTCTATAATTTGCTTGGCAATGGCGCTTGCGTTGGTCGACGCCGCCGTGAACTCCGCCAGCACCATCGATCCACGAGCAACCAGAGCATACAGTATCGCCATCTAAATTCCCTTTATATCGCTTCGACCGATTATCCAAGAACACAGTACCTTCTCCCTCACACTTAATTGATTAATTTTGGTGGAAGCTGAACAGATTTACAGATCATTCAAAAAACTGGAAAACAAGGCTGCCCCCCATTGAATCTCTCTTTCTAATCTTGCAGTTCAATTAATCAGCTGATATAAGAACAATAAACAATGAAAAACATTATTAAAATTGAATTAACGAAAGTAGAAACTTTTGGCATTGAGTTACGAAGATGGGACAGGGGACTGGAGTGATACGGCTTTTTTATAGAAGGAAGGAACGCAAGCTGGCATTTTCTCCATTAAGATTAGAAAAGTTCGGCATTGTATTTTTAAATTTTAAACTGAACAAATTAACTAATATTTTCTTTTATTAAACCTCTGGCTTTGGAATTGTGCTAAACTTTGGATTTGGTCATATACCTTTTCTTATCTTGAATAAATGATTTTTCAATTATTTATGTTAAAATGGTTGTCTCTCATCTTTTTTTTCTTATTTGTAGATAACGATGACATCAATTTTAATATTAGTTGTCGACTGTCGTTATTTTTTATTGTATTTTTCTTTTTTTATATCGTATTTTTAGTTTTTTCTATTTTTATTTTCAATAAATCTTTTGGTATGACATGTTTTCTTATGTTTTTGTGGCACGTTTTCTTTTGTCTTTTAACATGTTTTTTTTTGTAGTTTCGTCATTTTTTTCATTTATCTTTTTTAATGTTTGGTTTGGCACCGTCACGACTGATCAAGATGACATTTATCCGTTATCTTGTTGATTTTCACTGCTTTGGAATCTCATATTGAGTGTGGATATATTCAATTTGCGTTCATTGATAGTTTTTTACGTCGCTCGATTCTGATTTACGATTTGTCGGTGTCCTTTCAACAATGTGATCCCCTTTTGTAATTCGTTTACCAATATGATTAGATCTATTTGTATATATCTTTGCTCGAGTTTTTTTTTGTTAGATTTTTAATTTTTCCTTATATGATCCTTACGTAATTTTAAATTTCTATTTTTTTTCAATGATTATAATAAATTGTCCTAATTATGTACTACAATTGTGATTGTAAGTCTTTATTACAATTTGAAATATTTTTTATTAGTTACTTCTATTAAAAAATATATAATTAAAAAATCGATAATATTAAATACTTGTTATAAACAAGTCTATAAGGTAATTATAAAAATAGTATCCGACAATATATTTAACCAATGAAATAAATTGATTTGTGTAATCTTAAACAATTATTTTTATATTTTATATTGATAATTAAAAAAGATTATCCATTAATATATTCACAGTGTCAGTCTCTACTCAATAGTTCCTGGTAATCAATCAGACACTGCAGTGTTTAACAGCAGCATTACATTGAATTATAATAAAGTTTTAGAGTGCGGCATCTTAATATACAATTAAAAATAGTATTATCGATTTTGTTATTGTTTAAATAATAAAATTTGTAAAAAAAAATATCAAAAATATTATTATTTTTATTTAAAACATCATTTTTTTAATATTTCTATTAAAAGTGTCTAACAATAATAAACCGGTAGCGCCTAATAATGTTTCTAATCATTTTTATCAAATCTAGTAAAACACCCAATAATAACAAAACTGGTAGCGACTAATAATGTTTTCATCATTTTTTACCGATTTTGTTATTTAAACAATAATAAAACCGATAGCGACTTTTTTAATAGTATATTAAGACTAGCATTTTGATGAATTATGTGATTCCGTCTATTCCAATAAATGTAGTGCAGAGAAGATGCATTGTTTTGCACGCTACTTTGTTTTGAGTTTTGCACAAGTGAAAGTCGAATATATGAGGATTTGAATTTGAATGTCGAATTCAGATTGGCGTCTGGCATAAATACCTTTAAGCAAATCTAAGAGGAGACACAAATCACAGTTAATGGCAAATAATACGTAAGAAGAAACGCCATTTCTTCTATTTGTGGATGGGAACACAATTTCAAGCCTAAGGACAAAGATACACAAAACTAACAAGAAAAAAAGAATCATACAAAATGAGCCTTGTCAAGGGACATATATTCCCTTGCCCAACAATTAGGAAACATAACTTAACCAGCAAAGCTGCTGGCTGCTCGTCCCTCGTTTTTTTCCTCTGCAAAACAGCAACTTGAGATAATCGACCACTACAAAGCCTTGAATTACTACAAAGGTCCAAAACACATTCATAAAAATGTCCACTAAACTCTACCATTATGCAGCAAATCCATGATAAGAACAAATATACCTTAACAACAACCATCTATTTCGCGCGGCTCCACAAGGATATAGAGTGGCTTTCCATTAAGCCTGCGCTGCCCCTGAAAAATGATAACAATCAAACCCCATGCCATCGATCATTCCATTCCAAACCAGTAGGACAATTATTACAGTGCAGCAAACATCACAAAGTTCTCAAAATCTTTCAATTTATCACAAATCTTTTAAACGAGGGAGGGAAGGATTTACCTTGTCCTCGCGGAGTCCGATAACGCAAGCGCATTCGACAACTTTAGCACCAACACGTTCTATTTAAACACTAACCTCATGTTATATGATGGTAGTCATCAATAAACTTGTGAAGAAGAAAAAATCCCAAATTTTACCTAAGAGTCTTATGGCAGCTGACAAGGTTCCCCCGGTTGCGACCAAATCATCAATTACTATGACACGTTCTCCGGGAGGAATAGCCCCGACGTGCATCTCCAAACAGTCGGTTCCATACTCTAACTCATAAACTTCAGCAATTACTTCACCTACATATAAGCAGTCAGTTGACTCAGTTCCGTACTCCAAATATCATTACTCTTTTTTTTTAAAAAACTATCCAGATTTTCATCCCTCGCTGATACACTTAGAGATAACGCTAGTAAGTACCTGGTAATTTTTTGGGTTTTCTCAGAGGAACAAACTTCGCACCAATGGCTAAGGCAATTGATGGACCAAACATGAATCCTCTAGCCTCCACTCCTACAGTTAAATTTGCAACATTGAACTCCTAATTAAGGAAAAGCAACCCGTAACAGTAGTAAGAGAAACGAGGAGGATAAAACAGAACAGAGGGAAAGAATATTCAAGGGTAAAAGATCAGTTTACTGAGCAAATCATTTCCTAAAGAAACATAATTATTACAAAAGTAAAAGTAGAAGCAGAAAACAAGGAAACAAATTTTGCAGTTTTAACTGTTTTCTTAAAAAAATAAGCAAAGAAATGGGTGTTTGAGGAGAAGAGACAAGATGCAGAGTACCAGCTATTACAGAGATATCCATGTCTCTGTAGCGATCCACAAAGATGTCGATGGTATGCTGGAACGCTTTGTGATCCAGCAACAAGGTTGTTATGTCTTGGAACATAATCCCTATAAACCATACAAACAAACAACGAGATTAATCAAAGATCCTCAAAGAAAACAAATTCAATCTCAATAACAGAGAAAAAAGAACCTTGTTTTGGGAAGTGAGGAACCACTCTAATGGCGTCAGATATGGCTTGTAGCCTTGGGTCACCTTTGAGTCCATTCTCTGCTGCAAACATTCTTCCCCCAACTCTGTTTTCTCCTCTGCGATAATCTCTTCAATGGCTAATGCAAAGACAAAGAAGCAAAGAGATTATTATATTGGGGGGTCCCCTAAGGAAGGCTTTCGCTTCTTTTCTTTTTTGTTTGGATTTTCCCCACTAAAACTTAGCTGAAAAGATCAAATCCTTCTTTCTTCCCAGTGTTGATGCTGGTGTGTGAGAGAAGAGAGGAAGAGGGTAAGCGGCATTCAATACTATAACCCTTTGTCTATTTATGCTGGCCAATCCCAGGCACCATTGCTCCAAGTCACTGTTAAATCCTTCTTTCTTCCCAGTGTTGATGCTGGTGTGTGAGAGAAGAGAGGAAGAGGGTAAGCGGCATTCAATACTATAACCCTTTGTCTATTTATGCTGGCCAATCCCAGGCACCATTGCTCCAAGTCACTGTTTCTTATCACGCTGCCTTAAAGGCATCCGTGTCACGCGCTTCACGCATTACTCATGCTCCCCCCCCCCCATTAAATTCCTTTATAGCAAATCTGATCTCAATATTTAATGCCTTTTAACATCTCGACGTTCCTCGATTTTGTGTTATTTACCTACATTTTCCTTAAATTTCATATGCTCCATAAACTTAAGCAATCTCATTGAAAATTATGTGGAGATCATCTAACACATTTTAACTATACTATTTCATACATATCATCAATTAAGACATTATATTATGCTTAGGTTATGCATCAAAAAATTGATTTTTATTTCTTAAAATTTCAAGAGACGAATTTAAAATGAAAAATAAAATAAAATTAAGATGTTAAAATACTGATCATTATAATCAATACAACAATAAGCAGTTTGATCCATGGTTATATTACGGGTAATTATTAACCTATAGCCTAATGTATTTTTCAAATATATTAAGATATGTTTGATCGCAACTCAACGACTATCATACAATGAATGCATATATTAAGCATTAACCTTAAAAAGAATATTCAAACGCTACACGGTGTGAGATAAAGATTCTATCTTGTTTTTCAATACATTTTATATCCTTCATATTTATAGTTTTTTATTAATTTAGTAAGTACTCTTAAAAGTGAAAAATTATTATTAATTGAATAATGTATTTTATTATTTTTTAAGGTTTTATTAGTTAAAAAATATAAACATGAAGTATTGAAAATATAATTTATCTTTTTATAATTATTAAGTCATGAATCTAAAATAATATCGAACATAAATCAATGAATTAATCAATATTTTTAATAAAAATAATATAAATATTTGATATAAATATTAAAATTTGATTTTAAAATACCTTTTTAATCTTTAGATATGTACAAATTGGGGGGGGGGAATTTATGTAATCAAACATGTTGCACTCTTAGATCAGCTGAGTTAGAATCGCCATTTCTCTTTACAGCACGCGCCTAGAGGTGAAAGTAGGATTGCGAGATGCAATCTCCCATAGAAGATCTAATTTTTGTGGATGTCCACACTGTGCAGTCAGTATATCTAATCTAAGGCTCTCAAAACCAAGGTTTTCTTTTCATAATCCCAATACGAAGATTCTATGAAATACAATTACCAATTACACAGCTATTAAAAGAACAAACAAACGCACCCTTAATAAACCTTTTCCCTTTTTAATTTTATTTTCTAAACCTTTCCTTCCGGTCCACGTTGTCTGGATATAACATTTTAATTTTGGTAGGCTTGTTTGGGGTTATTATATCTAAAATCCCATTAAATATTTTTTAACACCCTGTCTGGATATAACATTTTAATTTTGGTAGGCTTGTTTGGGGTTATTATATAAAAATCCCATTAAATATTTTTTTAGCACCCTCTCATGATTTGTTAGAAAAATACTCTCAAATTGTACGATAAGAGAACCTCTCGTCCTACAACATGCGAGTCAGAGTATCGTCTTGTACAGGGCGCGAGTTATGTCTGACGTGGATGCACTTTTCAAATTACGTAATTTAATATTAGTATAAATAATCCCGAATTGCATAAAATGCAAGGTTTACGACATATAGAACTGTCCAGTGAAATTTATCGTGAATTGAAAATGGTAAGTTTGAAATTTGAAATTTGAAAATATTTCCTAACCTCGCGTTGTATAAAACGTGAGGTGTTGTTTACCTAGCTTCGAGGGCGGTGAGAGGTCGGCTATAAATATGAACCCCACAACTGAATTCCTCACACCTTCTCCCAAAAAAATATTTTTTTATATTTTATCTCTTATCTATTCAATTACTATTATTATGGTGGAATTACCAATGTTTGATTGAAGGCATGTTTTCGATTATTGACATATAAATCTGGAGGTAATTTTTATTTATTTATTTATTTATTTTAAATTATTTATTTATTTTGAATCATTTATTTATTTATTTATTTTGAAAAAAAGTTATTTATTTATTTATTTTGAATACTTTCTTTATTTAATTGAATGGGTATGGACATTCGTTGACGTGTTATATCAACCATTTACTTTGCCCTCATATCGATATTCTTTCATATTTACACGAAGCCAGTTTTGGTTACACTAGCACTATAATTGGTGGTACAAAGTTGCACCCTTCATTGATAAACACATTGCTAGAACGGTGGAAACCGGTGACGCACACGTTTCATTTTCCTTGTGGAGAGGTGACTATTACCCTTGAAGATGTTACATTTCATCTTGGGTTATCGATTGACAGAACTACTATTATCGGTGTGGCCCATGGGTTTTGCGTCGGCTTGTGTGAGGAATTGCTAGGACTTACTCCGACAGATGACGATATAGATGGAGGAAAGATCAATATTAAATTTTGGATGATAATTTTTTGGAGCTACTCGCCAATGTTGATCTAGTAATTAAAGATGTCATTTTTGAAATCTATGTTTATTTATTTTAATTTTTAAATTTATAATATTAAAATTTTATTTTAGTTTATGTTACTGTAATTTTTTAAGATGATTTTTTAATTTATTTACTCCTTTTTCTATCTTACGGCGATTTACTCGTGCTAATATTTTACAAGTTATTAGGGGAACTTGATGTCGGATAAATCCCGAAACAAAGTACATCAAATGTGGTTATAACATTTACGAGATTTGCGGGAGTTTAAATCTAGGAGTAGGGGATCGACAAAGTTGGTCTTTTTGTTCCGGGAGCTATGTAAAGTTGTTGATCCAGACAAATAAGTAATTAGAGGTTGTTTGATGTTGTTACAAACGTAGGCTTGGCTTCGAATGTCGTTTTTACAGCCGTTTCCTACACAGTCTATCCCATTTGAATTTCAACTACTTCGGAGGTAATTAAAAATAAACTATGATTATATATTTAAATTATTATATATTTTTAGGGTTTAAAAATAATTATATTTTATTATATGAATGATAGGTAGACTGTTACACTCACTCACGCCCACATACTAAGAACTTTATGGGATTTTAGATTGTTGATCAATAAGATAACAGATGAGGTAATTGATTTTATAATTTTTTATAATTTAAATATCAATTTTTAATTCGAGTTTATCTAAGCTAGTTTTAAAATATGTGTAATTTATGTGGACGTCTTACAATGATGATGCTATTAGGTCATGTGCTCCGGCTGAAATAGATATTAGTTTGGACGTTTGGATGTCGATGGTCCCGTTGATTGTCTATGAGATGGTCGAGTGACATCCTACCGATTACGTGATGTAACAATTTAGCCGTGTACAAACGATTCTGCTACCATCACACGACTTGGACACCTTACATCGTATAACGTGACAGAAGAAGACGAATGTTAATTGGGAGATTTATCATGTAGAATGAGTGATGCAGTGGATAGAGAGATTACATAGATTACCCATTTCTCAACCTATATTCGAATATAGTGTTACAAATGATTATATGTTGTGGTATGAACAAAATGGAAGCTGTATATACTGACAAAAGAGGCGCGAGAACGAGAAATTTATGTGCCTCCCCAACATCGGCCACTAACATAACATCCCCCGACGCAATGTGGTGCTAGAAAGAATCAAGTTAGAGTAGAAGAAAACATGTTTCAACCTTATCATAGAGAACGACACAAGCATCTGTAGAGCATGAGATACCGCTGACACCACATATATTTACTCACTCGACTCAGTCAGCATTTTAGTAAATGACGTCTCCGATGGAAGGTTTTTTTAACCGAGGCATTTTGTTCCTATTCGGCGATCGTTTTCTCTTCCCATTGCCTTCCTGTACCAGTTGAATCTTATTATCCGTCACCTCTGTGTATATCTGTTTGACCATTGGCAACAAACTTTGGTCCCGACAGTGTTGAGTAGATGCGAGCATGTTATGCACCGGTCTTGCTCCTAGTAATAGTGGTGGTAGTAAACATATAAATGGCGATGACAATGATGATGAAGATAGATTGATTCGTAGGAATCCTTGTCGAACTCGTCGTCCACCACGGTGTGGTTCGGGTGGGCATAGACATCATTTTTTTTTCTTGAAATGAAAAATATTTAATGTTTGAAAAACCTTATTGTAATTTTTTTAGTTATTCGAACTCTAGTTTATTTTTTCAAAAAATAGTATTTGAATATATTGTTCTAAGTTTTTAAATTGTTAATTAAGTTTTTATAGATCAAATATTCAAAATATCAATCAAACATGATAATTTATTTAAGTACTGATTGATAAACATAATATAAAAAGAACTACATGGAGTCAAAAGATGTTTTTTCGTATTCTATAGAAATGTTCGATAAAGATGAAAATGCGTCTTTCTCTTGGTCTCGACATATACACGAGTATCCTTCCAGGTCAGGAATCTCAAGGGTACTATCATGTCAGGAATCTTTGTGTATCTCGCATTGTACAAAACACGAGGTTTCATTTCAGGTCAGGAATCTCAATGTAAAACACGAGTATCCTTGCCTATATAATGCATCCTTTTCTAGTGGCATTTTAAATTATAACGCATGGTCTCAACTTATAAGAGGCTCCTCTTTTGGTGGCACGACTTTGCATGAAACTTAAAGATTCTTATGCCAAAATCGATGCTATAAGGTATGTCACCCTAAAAGAATGCCTTTTATAAAGATGTTTCCCTTTGAAATTCATGGGTGGGTTTTCATTTAATAATACCTTTAAAGGGCATTCTCTTCTAGTAGAGTCCTTAAGTGGTCGTCAATCCAAACAAACAAAATTATTGAAGAGTGTCTCATTCACTCTCCATCCATCAAA